TCTGGATGCCAGGAAATTGCAAAACAGGTTTTACTGTAACAAGGGCACTTGCTTACAATGCTGATCCATTGATTAGTGACCCTTTCCCAGTGACACTGATCTCCCCCGAGGTATTTTGTTAATCTGGGTTGTGAATTAAAAAGTGATAATCCTCGCATGCGCTGGAGTCTTGTAGCGTAGTGGTTAGTGCACTCTCCTCACAAGCGAGAGGACTCAGGATCGATTACCGGCTTAGGCAAGTTTGTTTACTCCACGCGCCTCAGTTCACCTAGCAGTAAATAGGAACCTGGTTGTTAGTCAATTGGCGGATTGCTTTCGGGGGTAATAATCTCTCCCCCCACCCCATAAAAGTCACTCAATCCACGACAGTTCGTGGGACCTTGCTGTGGGCAATTGGCTGCTGCATTTTGCCCACAAAATACAGTAAATCCATTTAACAATATATTCTGTGAAGCGCTTTGAAAGGTCTTAACGTGATAAGGCGCTTTATCAAATGCAAGGATTAATATTATTTACAGCAACTTTCACGTCAGGAGAGTACCTCACGATACACGTTTTGCACGATACACTGTAAAATGCAATGACTGTGTGTTTTGGAGGTGAATTGGTTAAAAACACCCACACTCCAGCACTGCTGAAAAGTGCAAGTGTGGATGTTGGGTAAGGAGCGATCAGTTGTCCCCTCCCCTCCATCCCTCCAATACACGAGCCATGTGGGCAAAGTACGAAAGAGAAGCTGGAGCCTATGAATCCATGAGCTAGGACAAGCCATTGCTTACAGAAGAGATAGATAAGATAGATAGGTAAGGGAGGGTGCACGGAGAGAAAACCAGAAGAGGGAAAAAAACACTATACTGAAATTCTCTACGTTTGTACAAATGTGGTTTCATTCTCATAGCTGTGATTCTTAACTGCATTTGAAAAATCAAAGTGGGTGTCGCAGGTTCTTGTCGTCTGCTTTCAAACCAATTATCAGCCGTAAGAATGATCGTCCCCTTCGGAAAATAACTGCAAATCAATCTTATGTGAACCCCAAGGCAGAGTCATATCCTACGCACTTTCCAGTCTTTCAATGTCCACTTGAACAGGCGGATGAGGAGGTTGGGTCAACATCTCACCTGAAGGTCGGCAAACTCCCAACATTGCACTGTTCCAATCCTCCCCCTCTCCCTTCCCCGGGCACTGCACTGGATTGTCAGCCTGGACCGTGAGCTCGTGCCCCAAAGAATAAGTTTTAAAATTCTAGCGTCAGTAAACTCAACAAAACAAGATGATAGAAATGGGTAGAATTTAATCCCACGTGCGTTCACTGTTCTGCAAGGGGAATAGGGAACACTGCCACGTTTACCTGCAACATACAGTCACTGCACACTACGGTAAAACCCTGTGAAACAACCTCCCGAATTGAAAGGGGTTTTATCAGATGTAGGGATTGTTATTATTTATTATAATAATGTATGATTGCGTCTCAACATTTAAATTTAAAGTGCCCTTTCCTCCCAACCTTCCCTCCAGCATCCGAGTGCTTTAGTAAAGCGTATCAAACGCCACTTTCTTATCCTATTAAAAAGCCGTGAAGCTCGTAAGCAATCCTCGCCAATTTAGGGGAACGTTTGCAAAAAACTGGTTCCAAATTCCGGTTATATCAAAACTCAGACCTGCAAATAGAAGTTATTCAAATTCTTTTAAAACATTGTGCCTGGTGCACTTGTAAACAAGTACTTTTGCTAACATTGGTCTGGTGTTGGTTTTCGTGTGTGTGTAAGTACAAGACAAAACAGGAAGGAGGTGGTTTCATGTGGTTATTTGTGAAGCTTGGGGGGAAATGCTATCATACATTCCTCATGCAATCTTGACAGGGTTAAAGTTGGAACAACAGAAAAGACTTTAGCAGCTTAACATAATTACCTAGAAAAATATAACCAAACTGCCTTATTCAAAGAGAGCGCCACTCTGACATCTGTGCATCATCTCAAATGGAATAAACTGCTGTCTGCTTAAAGGGCAAGTTTCACAATATATTAAACCATTAGAAAGCAACGGGTGACTAAGAATCTTTAGGTCAACATCCTCTCAATTCTTTTGGTTTGGGAATTTTTTTTTAGCGGATTCCAGAAAGTGCAACAGCGTCACAAAACAATTGATTTTCACCCACAAATATACAGTCAATTCACTTTACGGTATGTTCTGTGAAGCGCTTTGAGAAGTCTCGAAGACGTGAAAAGCGCTGTATCAAATGCAAGGATTATTATTATTATTATTTAGGATGAAAACCACAAGTTAAAATGGCACGATGGCTCATAGCCCACACTTGAGGTTGAGGTCCCTTGTAGATATGAACATCAAAGGGGCTATTGTAAAAGGGGAGTTCCTCCCAACCACCCTCCCAACCCGTGTCCTAGCCAATAAAGTAGATTTGCTTATTTACTCCGTGGCCGTTTGCGGGACGTTGCTGTTCGCAAATCGACTGCCACGTCCTCCCACAAATACACAGTCACTGCACTTCATAGAAAAACATTGCAAAATGCTTCTGAGTCATTTCCTTGTTGCAGGTGCATCATTCCAATACAAATGGGACCATTATAATTAATGATGGTATCTTGGCACTACAATGTTGATAAGATCCCTCGTCTCTGTTTATCCAGCAGTAAGTAGGAACCTGGTTGTTAGTCGATTGGCAGATTGTTTTTCAGGGAGTAACAAACACGCCAAAAAAATAAAAAAAATTTGGTCACTCAAATCAATCCACGACTGTTTGTAGGACACTGCTGTGCGCAATCGTCCGCCCTGTTTCGCCCACAAAATCCGCGTTCAATCCATTTTACAGTAAATCCTTTTGAGACATCGAATGATGCGATAAGGTGCTATTCAAACGCAAGGATTATTATTAGTATCATTATACCTGTTACAATTAATACAATTCATCTTACTCTGTGCGACACTACTGACTGAGGGAAAAGTAGCAAAATTAAAGATTGATTTTCTTTTTCAATTGATCTGTACATTATGATCGTTTACGAGTTCAGTGATGCACTGAGAATATGTTGGAATTAAATATTAATCGCTGATTTAATACTGTAAATCTGATAGGTATCTTTAAATCTGTTTTATACAGAACGTAACAGCACGGAAACCGGCCATTCAGACCAACGAGTCCATCCGGTGTTTATACACCACACAAGCCTCCACCCTCTCCTATAACCCTCTATATCCTTCTCCCTCACGTTGACATCAACTTTCCTCTTAAATACATTAAAAGCTTTAAACATGCTGCAAATGTTCACATGAATTTTCTTGGAACCAGCCCTGTGAAGTCCAGCAACACAGCAACACTCCACAGAACTCCACAGACTATGTGAGTTCTAAGCCTCCAATATGAGAGTTGAACCCACAACCTTCTGACTCAAGAGGCGAGAATGCTACCAACTGAGCTGAGCCAGGCTTCACATGTTTGAAGTCACTGATAACGAACAGGAGTGGGAACTCCTCTCTTAACATACCCAATTATTACATACTCCAAACACTACCTGACTGACAATACGGCAACTGACTCAGCTGACTCTCGACTCGGAGTCAGATTGTTGTGGGTTCAAGCCCCATGTCAGGACTTTGAACTCCGTCAAGTTTGACGTCCCAATACAGCGTTGGGGAACCATGCCTTGTTGGATGTGCCACTCCTCCGTAAAAGATGTTAAACCGAGGTTCCCATCCTTTTGAGGTGGACGTTAAAGATCCCCAAGGCACTATTCAAAAAAATAGGGAGCATCTCCCTATGTCCTGGCCAACAGTTTCCAGATAAAATTGGGTCACTAACTTCATGGCTGTTTGTGGGACGTTGCAAGTTGGTTGCATACACAGTCATAACACTTCACAGCAAATCCTGAGGCTTCACAGTAAAGCACTTCGAAACTTGCTCCAGACATGAAAGGCGCAGTTTCAAAGGATTATCACCTGATAAATCCGCACATAGACCGGGATTAGTGATCTTCTGGCCTGTATGACATAGAGGTGCCCTCATCCACTGAGTCAACCCAAGAGCTTCAGGAAATCTTTTGCAGGAATGGGATATATTGCTCGAGGCCTACGTGGCTTACAAAAAAAAAAGACGCACCTTGCCTCAATCGACCGTCAAAACCTTAGTGAGAGAAGCAGCAAAAAAAAAAAAAAAGCTCGGAGCGTCATTTAAAGAAACGTCTTTTTATTTATTAATTAGCTTTTTTTAAAAAAAAATGTGGAGTTGGTTTGCTTCCTTTTAAAAAAAAAGTCTCGCTTCATCGATCAACAATGAGGACCTGCAACTCGCTGTCGACACCAGCAGGCGGCGGCAGCAACCAGCAGTTAAGACAAAATTAAGCCCCAAGAAATAAAACTCCTAGCAGTTCAAACAATTAAAAGTTACGCGCGCACACACACACACACCCCTACCCCTGACTGTTTCATTGGTCTCGTTTATAAAACAAGTTTAAAATTCCTGGCTCTTCCAAAGAGCCGGCACAGGCGCGAGGGGCCGAATGGCCTCTTTTCCGCGCTGTAAGTACTCTACGATTCTAAATTGTGCACAATTTCATCGAGTTACAAACGGCTCTGGGTGTGTGCCTTCTTTTTTCTTTTGCCAAACAACTTTTTTTTGTGTGTGGTTGGTGGAATATTTATACACGTTAACATCTAGTGCCCTCGCTCGCAGTCCCAAGTTTCAATTTCAGTCCAAAACAAACAGTGAAACTGCGACTGGTGTCTCAAGTCAAGATCCCTCCTCTTCACTACACTTCGCCCCTGCTTCCTTTAAGATGTCCCTTTACGGTTAAGTCAGTTGATGGATCAGGAGTTACCATAAAGAGAAAAACCACCTCCACAAATGATGTTGATTGGCGGGGTGGGGGGGGGGGGGGGGGAAACGCATGCCTCTCACCATCAGGGTAATGTTTTTTTTTGCAATGCTGGTCTCAACTCTGATATTGTTAGAAGTCAGACATCACTTGTTTTTCTCATTCACAGATCTATTACGTTAAAAAAGAAGTATTCTTGTTTTATTTCAAGACTGAAATCACAGTTCCTCCCTCCTCTCCCACACCCCCCCTCACTTCCACCCCACACCGACATAGAAAACTATGGAACATTAATCATTAGGTTTGACAGCTTGTTTTTGCTCTGTCACTGACTCTTGATAGTTTAGGTAGGTTACAGGGCTTTTTTTCCCCCCCAAAAAAAGGGGAGGCTGTCTCTTTGAAAGCAGCAGTGAAGAGAGAGGGAAGGAGGGAGGGAGGGAGGGAGGTAATTAAGGAGGTTTGATACTGTCGCAAAACACTCAAATCCCTAGTGCAATATTTTCAGATTGTATTTTTTTTTCTTTCTTCCTTCCCCCATCCCTCCGCACGCCCAGCCTCCCCACCCCCAACTCCCGCACACAAAAATATTAATGACAATAATAATAATAATAATATAAAGCCAGGCAGACGACCGTTTCGTTGTTTGTATTTTTTTTTGTGTTCTCAAGTTTTGTGTGTTTTTTTTGTTGTTCGTTTCAGCAGCTGACGGTGCTGGGCTGCTGTTTGACAAAGTCTGAAATGAAATCGAACTCGTTCTGTCCTAGCCACAGCTCAGGCAGCTCCTGGATGCGATCCAAACCCAGCTCCAGAGCCAGAGACGTCAAGACCTCCTCGTCTATGGGGTCGGTGTCCGTAACGTTGAGCGAGAAGCAGGGGGGAACCGCAGCTGGCGAGCAGGAGACCCCCAGCCCTCCTCCAGGCAGAGAGCTCTGGCTCACAGCACCTCCTCGGTACTGCTGCCCTAACCCGGCGCTCACTCCCAACAGCGGCAGCCCGTGATACTGATGGTTCAGTTTCTGCAGATGCATTGTAGCCATGAGTTGCTGATGCGGGCTTAGAGTCCCGAGATATTGCTGCTGTTGTTGTTGTTGTTGTTGTTGCTGCTGCTGCTGCTGTTGCTGCTGCTGCTGTTGATGATGTTGTTGTTGTTGTTGTTGATGGTGTTGGTGCTGTTGTTGTTGTTGCTGTTGCTGATGCGCGCTGTACAGCATTGCGCCAGGCAGCTGGTGATGATGGCTTATAGTTCCCGTCATGTTGCCCATCCCGGGGCGAGACCTGACGACACCGACACCGACGCCCCCATTAGTATCCAGGCTCAGACCCCCGTAGTGCATGAGAGAGGCTCCTCCAACGGCGGCGTGGCTTCTCCTGAGACCTGGCTGCTGCTGCTGCTGTTGTTGTTGTTGCTGTTGCTGCTGCTGTTGTTGTTGTTGTTGTTGCTGAGGAGGCTGTAAAGGGTTCACCCCCAGGCGATAGCTCTGTAACCCACTGGTGTTGTCAGAGAAGCGACCTGGGTTAATAGGCATCATCAGGTGCTCTGCCATTCTCTTGCTTTCTCTCTGCCCCCAAGACAACTGGAAAAGACATCAATGTGTGTGAGTGAGTGAGTGTGTGTGAGAGAGAGAGAGGGGTGTGTGTGTGTGTTGTGAGTGTGTGTGGGGGGGGAGGGGGGGGAGAGAGAGAGAGAAAAAGGGGAACAAAACCCACACTTCCATTTAAAAGCAAATTGCTCACACACGTTTTGAGCAAACTGTTAATTAAGCAAAGAGGGTATTTTATTTCTCTTAGCATTTTTCTCAACAACTCTCCCCCCCCACACCCCCACACCTCCCCTTCCACACCCACACAAAAAAAAGTTATTGCAATTTGTTTGCACAGTTTCTCTCCCCCCACCCCCACACACACACACATACACACACATACACATACACACACAAGAAAAATAAGGCTCAAATCCTCAGTGCAATATTTGTCACCCCCTTTCTTTTTCCAGCTACAACTGCAGGAGATTTCATTCTGTCTCTCTTTCGAGATTGTTGTGTTTTGTTTCAATTCAAAAAAAAAAGAGAATTAATTGTTTTTAATGGATTGCTTTTGTCCTTGATCTCTGGTCCAAATAACACCCAACACATCCACACACACACACACATACACATACATACACACATTAACCCTGACCCACACTGTGAGAACTTGTTCCTTTCCTCTCCCCCTCTCCACACACCACACACACACACACACACAAAAAAAACACAGGAAAAAAAGAATTCATTTGAAAAAAAATCATTCCTGACCCCATTTCAAGATCTCAGAATAAAAAGCACAGAGAGAGTGAGAGAGTGAGTGAGTGTGTGAGAGAGTGTGTGAGAGAGAAAGAAGAGTCATTCTCTCATTCTCACTCTCTCTCTCTCTCCCTCACACACACACAAATAAAAAGGGTTACGATTTCATTTCTTTCTCTTTAAATCCCTTAATTCGAGAAGAAAACACGTTCGCGAGTGGAAGAACAGGAGAGGAGAGATCCAGAGAGAGAGAGAGAGAGGGAGAGAGAGAGAGGGAAAGAAAGAAAGAAAGAAAAAGGGAGAAAAAAAAGAAAAGAGATACATACCTCAGTCAAGTCTGTAACAAAAAAAATAAAAGATTTCTCCCCAATTTCAGTCCAGGACCCAAAAAAAAAAGAGCAAAACGACTATGATTGCCTATGAAATAGCCCCTGAGGTCTGGCACATCACTGGGGGGGGGTGTGAGAGTATATATATAATATATATCTAATCACAGACTGTATATATAGCTCCTCAGTTGGAGAGTGTCTCTGGTTAGTGGGTCAGTTGCAGATTAAATACTGTAACAAGAAGAGAGGCGATGTCGGGAGGAGCCAAACAGATGGGTTCCTGACTCCTCTCATTGGCTTTCCTTAAGCACTGCGTAAAAGCGTATTATTCTAACTTCTGGGGCTGGTAAACCCCTCCTGTTTACTTTTCCTTCCTTTCTTCTCTTTCTTTTCTTTCTTTTCTTTCTTTTTCTCTCTCTCTCTGTCTCCCCACCCCCACACACACACTCACACCCACACACACTCACACACACTCACACACCCCCACCCACCCCCTGTGCTTTCCTTGGATGGATGAGCAGGACCCAATTTTAAGGGGACATCAAGACCCCCCTCCCCACCCCCCACACACACCCCCACACCCCCCCACACACACTCCCATTGCGTTATTGTTTTGTCCTTTACAAGGAGAGGAGATTCCACTCTCTCTCCCTCTGTGTTGTGTGTATATGTGTGTGTGGGGTGGGGGTGGGGAAGGGGTGGGGGTGGGGGTCTGTCTTATTACAGAGACACAGAATCTACCCCCACCCACCCACCCACCTCCCCTCTCCTCCCATTTGCATTACAATTTGCCACGAGAAATGTGGTCGGGACCCATTGTCCTCGCCAACAAAAGCGCCTCTTGAGGAAGCTGCCAATGAACCATCCACGAGACGACTGTAGAAATTGCTTTTACTAATATATATATATAAAACACAGCGCTGGTGGTTTGTCAACCAGTCTGTGGTTGCAATCTTTGTGCAATGTAGAGGCTCTGTTCCGCCTGAACCACGCTACGGTTGTTGCATGCGGGTATGAAGGTGGACCTTATAGATCCCGAGTTAATAATAATAATAATAATAATAATACTTGCAACCGACACAACGCCTTATCGCGTCGGTGAGACGCCTCAAAAGGCTTCACGGAATATGCTGCAAAGTGAATTGACGTGTGTGTTTCGTGGGCGAAACGGGAACAACAACAACAACAACAAGATTACATTTGTATAGCGCCTTTCATGTCAGGAGGACGTCCCAAGGCGCTGAAAGGGCAGCCAATTGCGCAGAGCGGTGCTGTTCCGGGTAACTTATCGCACCCCATTTTTCCCCTTTGAAGTGACGAGTTATCAGGAATCGATAGTATTTCCACCGCACTGCTCTGTCGAAACAGGGGCAGGTGCGTTGCGAACACATACAAGCTATTATTAGCTTCACAATCTGTATTTCAGGGTCGATGTAAGCGCTCCTGCTGTGACGGGCGCTATGTAAATGGAAGTTGTTGTCGGGGTATGATGGTGACGTAGGAAGCTGCAGTTAAATAAAAATAAAGACACCTTCAGGGCTCTCAACGCTCACCGTTTTAAGTTAAAAAACATTTTTAATCAGGCCACGGTGCAACTTTTTAAAAAAAAATCAAAACAATTGTGAGACACAATAATTTGAGGCGTGATATTTTCGTGCAGACAAGAGCAAAACCGGGATATAAAGCTCAGTGGGAGGTGTTGCAGACGTCTCTCACGTCTCAAGATCATGACTCATCTCGCGCAGCAACCTTTTCAAACCAAAACATTTTCCCTCTTTAACAGCTAACTTTGAGGGCATTTTGTCGGGAAATGACTGAAGCTTGTAAACGTAGGGACAATGTGACATGCTGCCTTTCAGGTTGTTTTTCTCTCTCTCTCTCTCTCTCTCTTAAAACGAGTTGATGATACTTTGAGTAATAATAATAATCCTTGCATTTGATACAGCGCCTTACCACGTCATTGAGACGTCCCAAAGTGCTTCACAGAATATGTCGTAAAGTGCATTGACTGTGTATTTTGTGGGCGAAACTCAGCCGTGAATTGCTCACAGCAGTGTTCCACAAACAGTCGTGAATTAAGCGACCACAAATTTTCTTAGGGTTTGTTACCCCCGAAAAGCGATCCGCCAATCAACTAACGACTGGGTTCCTACCTTCTGCTCGGTAAACAGAAGTGTGTGGAGTAAGGAAATTTGTCTGAGGTTTCGCCCCGCCCAGGAATTCAACCCGGGTCCTCTCGCTTGCGAGGTGAGGGTGCTAACCACCACTCTGCGGGACTCCACTAGACTGGGTTGGTGGGGGGGCGAGAGGGGAAGGGGGGGTGGAGAGTTGAAGGTAGAGGGTTGTGCACAGAATCCATTGGGGGTCTATGACCAGCCCACAAATTGCACGAAAGTTGCTTTGCACGAAACGCTGCCTTAAGGTTCTGCCTCACCTCGGAGTAGCAGATTGATGTGGAATGGCAAGGCACTGTGCACCACTTTGGTAAGGTAAACAAAGTGGAAATTCTGACTCCACTATCGGGTGAAATCATCAGAAATACTTGGTCGGGTGCCAGTGTCTTGCAGAGCATCAACCGTTTCAAGGTTCCTGTTTTCTCTCTGTATCTCTCTATCTCTCTCTCCCTCCGTCTCTCTCTCTCTCTCTCTCTTTCTCTCTCTCTTTCTCTCTGCAGCAGAATGCGTGTTGCTATCAGTTTATGTGACAGCAACATGATTCTTTCAGATATTCACTTGTTTTGTGTTTCTGCCTGGGGCCTTGTGACAGCCACGTCGTGGGGAGGGCTACACACATATCTGATGGGAAGTGTAAAGCCCTGATGCTGTGTTACACAGGCTCAGACAGGCAACCCGCATTTTCAATTTCCCATTCCATCATTCCTATTAATGGCTTGCCAGACAGTCTTACCTACTCAGGTGATGTCAGTCTTACATCTTGTTCAATACAGTGCTGGGAGAATTGGGGGGGGGGGGGGGGGGAGGGGGAATTGTCGTACTCAGTCACCACACTTTACGGTAAACTCCTGCGAAGCTCTTTGAGATGTGATTAAGGCACTATGTTGAATGCAAAAAAATCCAAAACATTATTAATATCAATGGTAACTTTGCATATGCAGGTGCTTGAGGCAAGTCTTAGTCTTTCTTGTCTGCCTGCTGCAGCAGCAGAAACTGGGTTCAACTCCTTAGTTCCAACCTGGCGACATGCTGAGTGAGACGGACAATAAAAGGGAGGACAGGTTTGCAGGGCTATGGGGAGAGAGCGGGGGAGTGAGATTGACTCGGATAGTTCTTTTCAAAGAGCCCAGCACAGACACGATGGGCCGAATGGCCTCCTTCTGTGCTTGTATAATTCTGTGATTCTATGAAAACAGACCTGACACTTGCCTTGCCAAACAGTGCGGGATGTGTTTTAGAAAGTCCTGCTGGGATGAAAGACCCGAGGTTGGAAAGCTCTCTTTGTCAGCTTGTCAGAGCACATTACTTCCCAGTGTTGATGAGCTGGAGAACAAAAGGAGTTGGCAGTTTGTAAGGAACTTTTGGTGTGTTTATCCTGTTGATGGCCAATCCACCAGCTATTATTCCACCGGCTGATATTCGTGATTTGCTTTGTTTAAACGGTTCTCACCTCACTGATCAGCTTCTCTTCTCTGCCCTTTTGCTTATTCACCAAAGTTGCAGCCTATTCGTATTAGGATTCATTTCCTCTGCTTAAAGTTCGACAGTTTCTGTTGATGATCCATTGAATAAAGAGTGCACAAGTGAAGCCCCGTTTACGTTGTGACTTAAGCTGTACTTACAGGAGTGAAATAATCCTGTGAGTACATTTGATATCACATCGTCGAGACATCTCAAAGCGCTTCATAGGATTGACTGCAGTGTGGTGACCGTGTGTTTTTGAAGCTAAATGCAGAAGCCGGTTTGCACACAGCAATTTTCCACATACAGCGAAGATGCTATTCGTAAAAGGAGGAGGGGGTTTCTCCTCCGGTATCCTGACCAATAGTTCCCACCCCCACCAGATAAAATCAAACATTCACTTCATGGCTGTTATCGGGACGTTGCTGTGTGCAAATTGGCTCATCTACAAAATACAGTCATTATGCACTACTATGCACCACGGTGTCATGCGAAGCACTTTGAGACATCCTGAGGATTATTACTGGTAGAGCTGGACAAAGAACGACGTGGCGTAAACCCAGCACATGGCAATGCAGAAGGTCACAGGTTTGATTCCACAGCCAGTGCTGAGTTAGCTGATCGCAGAGAGCAGCAGTTAGGAGCAGACTGCAAATAGCTTCACAGGTTGGATGATAGTGGTGGTGGGGTGGGAAATCGGCCGAGGCGCTTAGTCTATAAGTAGGTAATACACAGTCAGTTCACTTGTATATCTTGTGAAGTGCTTTGCGATGTCTCAATGATGTGATGTGGTGCTATATGAAATGCAAGGGATATTATTGTTATTATTATTATCGTTATTATAAAACCAGTCATTCATTTTATGGCTGTTGTTACATATAAATTGGCTGCTCTATTTACCTGGAGGATACAGTTTAGAGTAAATGTTGCAAAGCTCTTTCAGACCTCCCTCTGACATGAAAGGCGCTGTTTCAAAATACAATTATTTATTTACTTAATTATTTATTTCTTCATTGCCATTTACGTAGACAGCCGTCGAACTGATCAATTGATACAAGTTAAAAACAGGACATTCTCTCTCACGAAGTAGCAAGTAGGTTTTAAACAATAACAACAGGGGTCCCGCAGCTCGGTGGTTAGAGCGCTCGCCTCACAAGCGAGAGATCTGGGTTCGATTCCCGGCAGGGCGAAACCTTGGGCAAGTTCCCTGACTCCACACGCCCGATAATAATCCCTCAAGAAGAAAAAAAACAATAAAATTGGTCACTTCAATCCACGACTGTTTGTGGGACACTGCTGTGCGCAATTGGCTGCTGTGTTTCGCCCACAAATATACAGTCAATTCACTGTAGAGTATACCCTGTGAAGCGCTTTGAGACGTCGAGAAGACGTGAAAAGGCACTATATCAAATACAAGGATTATTCTTATTATATTATTGGCTTGCGCCTTCACATGGGTCTCGAAGTGCTTAACAGTGGTGTGGTTTGATGCCGAGGTGGAAAGGGGAGGTGACCGAAGGCACGGTCGAAGAGGAAACTCTACAGGTGTGGTTTGAAGATGGACCAAGTGGGGGCAAGATGGAGGGATTGAGGCAAGGAGTTCCAGAAAT